TCTGGTTGCTCTTAAGGGGAAAGGAAACAGGCCAGCTAGGAGGCTGGTTGTTGCTGTAATCTAATTGAGACATGATAGTGGCTTGTTCCAAGATCATATTAGATAACTCTGAAGGGTTTGCTAGATAGGACATCCAGGAGTCTTTTTTTGTCTACTTCAGAGTCTCACAATTTTTCATGAAAGCTGAAACATTTAGATGTAAAGCTACTGCGAACAATTTGAATAAGACGTTCACATTAAAATAAAAAACATAACCAGTGATCCTTGTTGATCTCATAGTTCCATTTGAAGTAATGACAGTAATTGTAGTCATCATCATTAGATAAATAAGACTGTTTTTAAAAGTGTGTTATTAACATTGTAGTTTTTTTCAAATTTTAAGATTATCTACACATGTTAATCAAAACTGATGCACTTGTCCACCTTTTTTGTTGGTATTTCTTTGTTGGAAATTTATTGGGTCACTTATTAGAAGTTCATCATATTCTAGTCAAAGAATATCAAGCAAGTTAACATGCCTGGGTAATTCTATCAAGATTATATTTCTGAACTAGATTATGTTCTCTTTATAGAAAACAGGAACTTTCAATAATAAATGTCTAACTTTATTTTTCAAAAATAGCTACCGTATTTCCTTGTAGTGATTCTGAATAAAAGTATACTCTATTCCACCTTAATTCAAACTTTCTACTCTCTACAAAACTGGAAACTCTACATTTATTATCAGCTTTTTCTTTTTAGTTAAATATTTATTTGGTTTTAAATGCTTTTTAAATTCTTTTTTGCAAATTTCGAAATGTACTATCTCTACTGAAAAGTAGAGAGTACAATGACCCCATATGTACTTATCCCCCAGTTTCATCAACTTTTGGCCATACTTTAAAAAAATCTATAATCTCCTTTTTTGCTAAAATATTTTAATCAAATTTTGATATGTGCTGTCATTTCATCCCTAAATATTTCAGTGTGTCTTAAAATAAAAAAAACATGTTTTAGGTAACCACAATACATTATTACATCTAACAGCATTAACAATAATTCCTTAATATCATTTAATACCCAATCCATATGCAAATTTCCCTAGTTGCCTAAAACAATTCTTTATGTATTTTTACAGTTCATTTGATCCAGATATAAAATAGGCCCACTCACTATATTTGGTTGTTTTGTATCTTATATCTCTCTTAATCAAAAATAGGTGTTCCCCCTCCCCTTTTTGTTTCATGCCTTTGTCTTGTGAAAGAAGCTTGGTCAATTGTCCTGTAGAATTCATGGGGTTATTTAATTCATTACTCTATATTTCTTGTAGACTAGAAGTTAGATCAAATCCTTGTTTATACTCAGGTTTAGTTATTTTTTTGGCAAGAATACTTCATAGGTAGCACTATTTCCTATTGCTTTAAATGACAAGGCACTTAATGTTTGATTGTTGTACCTTTAATGATCTTAAGATTGATCTGTGGGTTCAGGTGGTGACGACCTTATCTTTTCATTGCAGAGTTTCCTGCCAGTCTTCCCTGTGGAATGCTAAAATCGTTGATGATTGTTGCCTGAACCAATTATTTTAATAGGAGTTGCAAAATGATCATTTTCTAATCATGTCACTACCTCTGCATTTATTAATGGATGTTAATAGAACTTCTCCTTGTACGCCAGAGCTGTTGGTTAACTTGAAATATGCTTCATATCAGGAAAGCAGAATAAATAAAGGGAAAATTAAGCATCAGTTTTCAGAGTCATGAATTGTTACCCTAGCAACCTCTAGTGTGTCCAGTGAGTTTTGTTTGTTTCTTGTTTCTTTTTTCTAAATATCATTATGAACTAGACTTTTTATATATTCAGTATGGTTTTTTTTTTTTTTTTTTGGAGACCGGCTGCACCGCACTCAGCCAGTGAGCGCTGTGAGCGCACCGGTCATCCCTATATAGGATCCAAACCCACGGCAGGAGCACTACTGCGCTCCCAGCGCCGCACTCTCCCTAGTGCGCCACGGGCTCGGCCCATATTCAGTATGTTTTAATAAACTTGTAGTCATTATTCCTTCTGATCTCACTGTGTCTCATCTTTGGCCAATTGGGAGCCCCTTCAGGCTAGCTCTGTGTCCTTTTGATACAACCCCATTGGCCTTTGATAGTTTCATTGCTTTTTGGCTCAACAAGATATTCCAGGTTGATCTTAATCCATTTCTTTTTTTGGCAGCTGGCTGGTAAGAGGATCCAAACCCTTGACCTTGGTGTTATACCACTGCTCTAACCAACTAAGCTAACCAGCCAGCCTTAATCCATTTCTTGCCCCAGACATGGAATCATCCATTTTTCTAAGATGACTTAGTTCTTTTTAGTGGGGAATGATATTTAGAAACAAATGTTAGGTGCTATGTATTACTGGGTTGTCATTTTTCTTTTAGGCATTTTCAGTGGACATAGCAAGAAACTACGTATTTTTAAAAAGTAAGAAAAGAGATCATGAGTTCAGATGATATTTCTAAATGAAAATTTAAGGTTATAGACTTTTCTTTTGTAAGGTTAGCTATGTTTTATTACAAAATGTTCAGGAGGCCCTTCTCTATCATGACCTTTCTAACTTTGCCAATCAGATTTTTTATTTTTAATGGAAAATTTTAAATATATAAAAAGTAGAAAAATACCATGAACCCCTATACCTACCATCCAGCTTTAACAGTTACCAACTCATAGCCAATATAAAGGATTTTTACCTAAATCTTTGTCATTTTATATTTATAATACTTTTCTCTTCTGAAAATCTTGGTTCCTTATATTTTCAATTCATTTGCTTTAACTTATCCTATAATATGCATGTAATGGTGTAGTGGATTGAATTATGTCCCCCCAAAACTCATTGAAGCTTGAATTGTGTTCCCCAAACTTTATGTATTAGAAACTTAGCCCCCACTGTGATTGTTAACAGGGTGGGAAATCCTATTATGGTAATTGGAAGGTGGAGCCTTGAAGAGGTGATTGGATTGTAGGACCATGCAGTAGTGAATGGATTAAAAATGGTGGTCATGGGAGTGGTTCTGAGGGCTTTAAAAGAAGAGGAGAGTCTGTCTTGCTCTCTATTGGCTCTGTCTGCTTCCACCATCTTGCAATGTGAGACCTCTGGGTCCCTATCGCCTCCACCAGATGGTCTTTGGACCTCCCAGCCTCAGAAACTGTAAGCAATTAATTTCATTTTCTTTATAAATTACCCAGTTCCAGATATTCTGTCAGAGCAACACAAAACAGACTAATACAAATGGTTTCAGAATAATGGCAAATCTTACTACTAAAAATGAGATTACTAAATGAAGTTTTAAGAATTCTTTTTGTCCTTAGACTATATCCCATTGAGGGTGTAAAGGTGAAATGTTGCCTGGTAAGGTTGGTTGGAATAATTCTTTTCTCTGTGTGGTCATGTCACTAACTTGATATATAGTCAGACTCATTTGTTTTAGTTTGTTTTTAATTTTTAGGGACTGCTTTTGCTTTTCTTTTCATATATATAACAAGGTACATTCAGAGAAGTTTCCACTTGCATCCCTATCCCCTCCACCTTGCTCCCCTCTGTTCCTCCTGTAGATAAACATTTTTTCTTCGGTTTTCCTTCCTCAGTATTTATTTTTTTAAACCAGAGTCCAACTTTCTAAACAGATCGATGGGTTGGAGTAGGCACTCTAATATAAGAACCTTCCCTGTAAGCCTCCCTTTAGAATTGTTCCCCCTTGCAATCATTCATCACTTGCTTCATTTGATACACTCTTATCACCTACCTCCTCTACAGAGTCTTGCTAAGATCAAGAAAATGTTCTGTTACCTTTTTTTTCTTTACCTAGATCTACACACTGTGATGGTGAAAAACTCATACATTAATTCATTCTCTGTATCGAAGTGTACAATCGACTATTATATATCCTACCTTTTCTGTATTTGTTGTCTGTATTAAATCACAAGTCTTCAGTTATTTAGGTGCCCAATATAGTGTGATCTTTTCTTTCTCATTCTTGTGCCTAGTCCTGTGATCCAACTTAGTATTTCATATTCATTCACCTTAGTATTTCATTACTTAGTCCTTTATTAATCTATGTTGGTTGCTTTGTATTTGTTTAATGGGTTTGTGTCTTTTTTCAAGAAATTTGTGGTTTCCTGGAGGTCAGGACTTCTCTACCACTGTAAGAGATAAAAAGCAAATCTATTAGGAATATAGTGATCTGAATAAATGTTAATTGAATTGAAGGGCATATTTTGCTTGGCTAATTTATGGTCATGCTTGCCAACAATTGGACATCAGTAGTGTCAATGCTACATTTCAATCCAAGCTGACTGAAGATTAAATCATGAATCTTTACCCCAGAATTTAAAGCACAGGTGGTCTTAAGTGTTTAAGTTAATGTATGGGAAAGGAAGCACAAATATTCTGTTCAGAGCATTAAAAAGAAAAACATGGTCTTTGTTTCTAGAATGTAGCTTTAAGATACACTCAAGGGAAATATTATCAGGTGGTCATTACTTTTGGTGCCTGGCCTCAATTTCTACTTGGCTTAGCTCCATTATTGATGGCTCAGAATTTGGCTGGTAAGTAGGGGAGTTGGAAGCAAGGCTGTCTGCCTGTCAAAACCTACTTATGTTGACTTGGATTGCTTTTGATCTTATTTGCTATTTTATCAACTGTTCTTTGACTGCTAAATGAGTGGAGTTTCTATGGCTTTTATAGAAGAATGAAAACCAGAAAAGCCAGACTATTTACAATACTTTAAAAATGTGATACTAGTCCTATAATAGCACTGAAGCTACTTGTCATGTGATGAGACTATGTTAATTTGTTTTATGATTAAAGTAGGAAGAAGAAGCTGAGGTGTGATGTGTCCCATCTGTCTATTTCCCTCTTCCTTTTCTCTCACCCCCAAAGAAGATGCTGGAGATTCTTCAGGGGAGAATAAAAAAATGAATTTTAGAATATATTTGTATTCATGTTAAGACAACATTTCTTGGGTTTGCTTATAGGTCCTGTTATTGCCTTGGAGTTTAATGGAGATGGTGCTGTAGAAGGATGCCAACTTATTGTAAACGAAATATTCAATGGGACCAAGGTACAAGATTTTATTGACTACGTTTCAATCTAATCTTTCATTTAATCTCCTTTTCCTTACAATCAAATAATAATTTCATCCCTGGTGTTGCTTGGGATTTTTAAAAAGACAACAGATCATGATTTTTAGAACCTATGGCAAGTAATTGGAAACTAAGCTTTGGTTTTTCCTTGCCAAACTAAAACTTTAATTGCTTAAAATCATTACAAAGTAAGAATCTACCTATTAAAAACCTTCAATAGTACGTAAGTTTCTAAAGTAAAAAGTCTCATGAAATGTCTCTTCAAGCACTTGCAATAAGCCAAGCCTATTTTTTAAAATATTGATATGTTGAAAATATTTTATTTCTAAGATTATATTCTTTAGACAGACATTCCTGTTGCCCAGGGTTCATTTTTATTTGCTTTAGGAATGCTTCACCAAAAATTAAACTTGAGTTATATCTAGAAATCATTATATGTAGGCATTTTCTAAATATGTTGATGAAGTTGCTGTATATAAGAATTTCAGACTTAAATTACTTAATATAACTTAAAAATCCAAACATAGAAAAGAGGATTAAATGAGTAAATATATAGTTGACTATTTTTTGATAAATAATCTGATGAAGTTTTAGGTTTATCCTCTGATTTGGTTTATGGTTTCCTGAATTTGAAATTTTAAAGTACTTTGTCTTCTGTCTCACTTTATCATCACAATAGAACTAAGGGATAGGGCCAATATCAGATTGAATAGAAAAGAAAACTAAGAGATAAAATTACTATGTGATTTGGACTTTTTAGAGCTGAATGATTTGGAGATTATCTAATCCAAATTTCTTATTATACAAGTATGGAGACTGAGCCCAGAAAGGTTTATTAAATTGCTAGCATCACATGGCTAGTTCATGATAAAGCTAGGCTAGAATCCAGATCTTTGATTCCTGGCTGACGTTTGTAAAAGCTACTTTTGAAGGGTTCTATTGAGTACTGCTTTATTGATGTTTAGAAAATAAATCATTAAAATTAGTAATATATCTATGTTTAATAGCTTTGAAAAGGATAATCTCAAGTTTTGCTTCTCAGCCTATTGAGATTATTATTGGAAATAGAGGAAATAAGAGTTCTTTAAATAAACCTTATTCAGTAGCTTTCATAATAGTGAGTGTTGTATATTAAACAATAAGATTCCAGGTGTAATAAAATATAACTGAAATATTATGAAACTGAAATATTATGACCTTAATTATGTCATCAGTGCTTTTAAAAGAGGTTAATTTATATTATAGCTATTAAAACTATATTACATGGATTCTATAGAAAATCTAATAGGTTAAATTATGTATTTGAATTTCTTTTAATGAGCTTGTAACTTTGTTCTGTGGAGAACATGGGCTTTGGCATTTTGGAGTCACTAGTATTTATTTTTGTTTATTTTATATTTAAACTAGATGTTTGTATCAGAAAGCAAGGAGACGGCACCTGGAGATGTAGACAGCTTCTACAACTTTGCTGATATACAGATGGGAATATGAAGTGCAACGTGGAACCAAGGACTTGGTATTAAGCCCTTTCCAACTTGTGCACATAGAATTTGATAATATACTTTCATGTATTAGCAATGGCTTTTACTAATGCTAAAATTGTTAACATTTGTTTTTTAATAAATTGTTGAATATTGCATCATTTACTTGAGGTTCAAAAATAGTTCATTTTAAATTAAGTAGTTTTAGTCAGCTTAAAAACTACTTAGCCCACTTCAGTAAGCTTACAGTTTTGTTTCTCTGCATATGATACTCTTATTAGAAAATAGAAGTGGCAAGAGCTGGTGGGTTAGCTCAGTTGGTTAGAGTGGAATGTTGATTACACCAAGGTCCAGGGTTCAATCCAGCCAGCCAAAAAAAAAAAAGAAAAGGAAATAGAAGTGGCTAACATCATGATTTTAATCCTAATTAAATGTTCTTTCAAATCTCATAATTTAAACTTTCCTCAGTGCTCCATGATACTTGTTTGAGAATACATTTCATTGCTTATTTTATCTTTTTTAATTTAGAAGGATTTGTTACTAGTTGATCAATTAAAATGATCCTGTGCATATTTTTTTCTTTTATACATATCCAGTTAAATAATTGCTTCCTAGTTGTATTATATGGCAAATGAGATTTTGTACATGGTGCTGACATAATACTTTGTAAAATGAATTTTTTAAGAAATAGGCATTTGATAACCAGCTTTGCAAATAACTCTACTAACTGATGTTGGTATAGCTCTTTAAAGACTACTTGGTAAGTAGTGTGAGGCTGGCCGGTTAGTTCTGTTGGTTAGAGCACAGCCTTGTTACACCAAGGTCATGGGTTCAGGATCCCCCTACTGGCCAGCTGCAAAAAAAAAAAAATTCAGTTGGTTAGAGCATAAGTAGTTTGATTATTTGAATAAATTTCACATTGTTTAAATTTTTTATTACAACTGCTAGATGATTCTGCTTCCTGGTAAGAAAAGGTATATGCAACACTGACACTATGAGAAACCCAATCACCAGCAGTTTTTAAAAAGGTGATTACTGTTTTATCAGCTCTTGTGGGCTATCAAGAGAATTAAAACAAAACCTTGTGACTTTTAGGTAAAAATACTTAGACATGCTGATGAATTATGCAGATTATTAAAATGCTTGATACATTTTATTTTCATTACATATGCCATTTATATCAAGTAATGCTCAGTATGATAAAATTATTTTGGTTGTTTTAAAGCATTATTTCCCAAATCCACCTGATAATAATTAACCAGGAGGCAGGGGAAAGCTACTTGTTTAAAAATCCACATTCTTGAACCCAATCCTCAGATTTATGGATGTACTCTTCAGGAAAAACTGTTTTAAGATATATGTTGTAATCTACAGTTATCAGTTCAGAAGGTGTTGATAGGTTGATCTTGTGCGAAGGTACTGAACCTGCCATCCATATCACGAATAGCAACTAATAGGAAATCAGCTTTCATGGGCCTATTTTTAGAAGTAATATGAAATTTAATTCTATTTTGATAAAACTAAGACTGAAAATAACCACTTGTAAAAATTCCCTTTATGATTGTCACTAAAAATGTATTTTCATGTTTAATATGTTTTTTGATATTTTCAGATTTATAACTACTACATTGAATGGCATGTTGATGTGCAAAAATAACACATCAAAAAATTTTCACTTTAAATTAGTTAGTAATATTGAAGCACCCACCCTGTGCCTGGCCTTGTACTAACCATTAACATCACATCATTTCAATTCTTTTATAAAAGCATTCTATACTGCAAAATCAATATGATTTCATAAGGTGCAAATAAAAATTGGTGACAGGTTTAATATATTTTTTATCGTACCTTACAAGTGGTCTTTGCAAACAGCGATCAGAGGGCATTAATTTTTCCCTTAGTTAAGCTAAATTAAACATATTTCTTCCTGTCGTGATTATATTATTAAACACCATTATTCACATTTAAAATAATCACAGTACTTCTTTGTTTTTCAAAAATAAAATGCAATGTTATCCAAAGCTATAAATTTGAGTTCTTTATTTTATCTATGGTGTTTTAGCAGAAACTCAGGAATATAACATATAAGGGAGATGTTAGTTTAAAATTTTCCTCTAAATTTAGTATCTATTAACCAAAGCCTAAAGTTTTATATTGTTCATAAGATAAGAAGCTAGATAAGAACTTTTACCCAGTTTAACTTGTCTTTAAGAATAGTCATTTGTCTTTTGAAAGTTTGAAAGGAATTTTTAAAATAAGTAGTGCTATGATAGTTGTTTCTATAATTCTCAACTTTGACAGTAATCAGAATGTACTACATTTCATTTCTGAATAGCTTTTGAATTCATGAAAAATTATTAGTAATTTTATTAAGTTATACATGTTTGAACATTATGTTAGCTTATTTCTCACATTATTAGTACCGCTATTTTCGTTTTGCTTCTGTATATTTATGTCTAGCTTTTGTATGTAATTTATCTAGTGTTTATAAAACGTGATTTGTAATAAATGTTGTTAAAATGAAAATGGCTTACCACTAATATTTGAAGAGCACTTCTATAACATACATTTACTCATACATGTGCCAAAATTTGACACAATTTTTTAAGGTTAAAAGTAAAATAAAATGATCTAATCTGCCTTATGTTAATGAGAAATGAACTGTATGCAGTGTGTGTGCATGTGCACACACACACATGCAGTTGTATGCATACCAGGCACTCTGGGGAAACGCGAAGGAAGTAGAAAACCTATTTTAATCTAAAGGATTTCCAATATAATTCTTCCTTTGCTAAAAGTAGTCACATTTTATTATGATTGGATACTTACTGAGATTAGGCATCTTTCTCTTCCGTATTTAAAAAAAATGAATTGTGATATACTTTCTTTCAGTATACAAATGAACCTTATTTTTTAAATTCCTACCAAATTTATCAGCCTTTTGTACCCAACTTCTCCTAGCCTATTAATCAGAAGTACTAAAACTTTAGATTGGTTAGTTTTTAAAATAACATTTATTATTTTTATTTCTTTTTTTTTTTTTTTTTTTTTTTTTTTTTTTTTTTTTTTTTTTTTTTTTTTTTTTAAAA